CATGCCTACCTCCGCACTCTACACACTCCAGAATCACACACACACAGAGAAAAAGTGCAAGATGGCGCAAGGTTCCAAACAAGTATGGGAAAGTAGGCCAAGGTTAAAAGGAACATGCCAAGGTTAAGAAAGAGTAGGTCAAGGTCCAAAAAAAGTGATCCAAGGTCAAAAAAAAGTGATCCAAGGTCGAAAAAAAGAGGTAAGGTTAAAAAAAAGTGATCCAAGGTCAAAAAAAAGACTTATCTACATATCTGTATCTGTATCTACAATTAAGTGTGTATATATATATATGTCCATGTATGATGTCATTCCTGGAGGGATAGACTTCTGGTTGATTAGGAGGGTTACACCCCAAAGCCATTAACAACGTACCTCCTGTATGACAAATTATTCCGCGCACAAACAGACTCCAGTAGGGCTTTGTTAATCAAGGTTGACATCATCATATCGCTTCACAATCTTGACAGTCCATGGGCAATCTCAAATAATCTGATATATTTTTAATTGGCTAACATTGGAGCATAAACATGTGGCTTTACATGACCTGGCTATGGGTTAAATTTCAATTTCCTGCTTGGTGTTTTCACTGCAACATCCAACTGTGGATGTTAACCAAAGAACATGAGACATAGAGATACTGCAATGTTGGGGCATATTGTCAATCAACAAAAAAGGGGGTGAACAGGTGATCTACTTGAGGTTCTCAATTTCGGTGGACATCCAGTGGTCTTTTGGTGTGGGGGTCCGCAATCATTGTTTTTCGGATCCTGCGGGAAGATGTCCGACGATTGTAGGCGATTGGCTGAAAGAATCCACAGAAGAAAAAGTTACCATGTTTTGCTGGTGATATACCCTCTGGTAAACGTTTACATAGCTGTAGAAAATCACCATTCTTAGTGGGTAAATCAACTATTTCGACTGGGCCATGGCTTCAATGGCTATATGGCCCATGTTTTTCCGTTGAAGCTTTTGGTGTCGATTTTCCCCAGGCCTCGGAAATGTCAGAAGTGCAATGGCACGGGGCGCTGCAGCAACTGTCAGGCACCGATGTGGTGATTGGGTCCATGGTTTTTTTCACCGGGGTCGATGGCCATTTTCTGCCGATGTTTCGGCCAGCAGAATCCAGGGTGTAACTGTGGATTTGGGGGCCATACTTGGTGACCAAGATGTGGCCATAACGGTGGAGGGTAGTGATTTTAGAGGCTTTCTCTGGAATTTCACGGAGGGTTTAAGGCAGTTTATCTCCAGCAATCTGTTGATTTTACTAGGCAAAATAGGTGTTTCCTATGAAAATTATTGTATCCAAAATCCATTCCGGAGGAAAAGGGTCCGCGTTGCTTGAGATTGAAGGGAACGAGATGTAACGCAAGGCGACGTCAAAGTTGAAGAATCAAAAGGTACCTGTTGATGTAAGGCTGCAGTGGAGTGACTTGTTATGTGGATGGGCTAAGTATGAAGAAGCGAATAACACACATATGGAGGATACCTGTAACCAAACATCATCAAATATGTGGATGTGTCTGAAAATCCGCGAATGAACCCCCCCGTTTATGGCCATCAAACAAAAACGGGAACACATGAGATTCCAGATTCTGGTTTGACAAGCGCCTGAAGCGGATATTTGATCCGTTTTATCCTGTCTCCCATTGATTTGAAATACCAAGTGAAACCATGGTTTAGTGTTCGATCTATTCAATCTATTCATGACTTGGGGTCCCATTAAAGGAGAGTATTATGATGCGGGGATATGATTGTACAAATATCCAAATCACCCTGTGACCGTGGAGTTTGGAGTTGAAAGAGCTGGGAGCTGACAAGTAAGTGCAGATTTTCTATGATTCGTAAGTCCCAAAAAATCCAACCCGAACCCAAGAAACATGCTACGTTCCACAAGACATTGAAAAAAACCATGGTCAAGTCAGATGGAATGGGAATAGTCAATCCATCGATTCCTAGGGATTCCTAGGGATTCATATATAATTATGTGTATAATATATAATATATATATTATGTATATATATATAGTGTATATATATATATACACATATATATATATACACATTATGTTTGGCTCCCGGCGGGTGGATGACCGACAGCCATGAATCCCAGAGCTTCAGTTGCTATCAATCGGTTTTCTATTCCTGTGATATTCCCATGATATCCCTTTATAAATATGGGTCCCATTAGATGATATTAATGGGATATACCCTCTGGTAATTTAACGTAGCTATGGAAAATCACCATTTTTAATGGGAAAATCCACTATAAATGGTCATTTTCAATAGCTATGTTAAATTACCAGAGGGTAATGGGAATCCCAAAAATACATAATTATCACTATAAATGTCTTAAAACGCAAAAAGAGTCCAATTTTTTTCTCCCGGTGAAGTCGCATCTATTTCCTCCCGGTCTTTTTGACCAAATGCACAGCACAAAATGCTCGGTGTCAGGGAGAAGGGTCGGTGGATGTCCTGTTCCTTGCCCCACAAGTTGGCAAGAGGCCAGGGCCGCAGCCTCACAAAAGATGCCCAAGTTGGTCTCCGAGTTAACAAAACAGTGATGGATGACATTTCCTATCTTTTAGTAATGGTTACTCTTTGCCATTTCGAATGGAACGAATCTAGAGTATTTTGGTGGCCTAAAGATAACCATCCAGTGGTAGGTCATCCTTTTTCTGTGTGACTGTGCCCTTTTTCTTGGCAATTTGATGCCCATACATCGGTCATGGGTTCATCCCATTCAACCCCATTTTTCCCGAAAGTTCCTGCGACACGAGTTTTTCCCAAAGAACTGCTGCAATTGTTTTACTTCTTCGCATCAATAGCAACACCAACACCAACATCAATACCAAAATCAAAATCAATACACATATCATCAATACTATCAATACTGTCAATACTGTCAATACCATCAATACTATCAATACCATCAATATCATCAATATCATCAATATCATCAAGACCATCACTAGCATCAATAGCATCAATAGCATCAATAGCATCAATAGCATCAATAGCATCAATAGCATCAATAGCATCAATAGCATCAATAGCATCAATAGCATCAATAGCATCAATCATCATCATCATCATCATCATCATCATCATCATCATCATCATCATCATCATCATCATCATCATCCATCATCCATCATCCATCATCCATCATCCATCATCCATCATCATCATTCATATTCATCATCATTCATATTCATCATCATTCATATTCATCATCATTCATATTCATCATCATTCATATTCATCATCATTCATATTCACCACCACCACCACCACCACCACCACCACCACCATCATCATCATCATCATCATCATCATCAGTATCAGCAGATGCAGATAGGGATCTTTTTGCAACCAGGGTGTTGATATGGCAACTTCAGCTACCGATATCCCTGCTACCATCGACCCCAAAACACTTCATGCTCGCTGTTGCCAGGTTGATCACACTCCGGGTGTGCCCTGTGGCTCGAACCGCCCTTTTACTTAGGTGCACCTTCGGCCAATTCAGGCTTCAGCCATATTGCTGTGGCGTTAGCTGCGCTGAGTGGCCCGACAGGCCATTGACAAGGGTGGAAAAGTCCGCCGTGCACAAATCGAGAAGTGTAACTGTGCCAAACCCCTTTTGAAACTTGTGGCTGAAGCAACCTGGCTACCGACATTGGTAGCGGAGCCTGAGCGTGACAGGCCAGGCTCGGGCTCCAGGACTTTCTGGGTGCCCTGGACTACTTCCTGCGGTTGTTGGAGGCCCTCTACTCCTTGGACGTCACCTTCACCCCAGCTCTACAAGCTCTTCGGGCAGTGCTTGGACCTCTCCTTCCTGGTGGTCTACTACGTGGACACTTTGCGTAACTTCGAGACCCTTGACGATGACGACCTTGTCTGCAAAGGACATCGTAGTGACCTGGGATGGTGAGCCTAGCACATGGGCTGACTATAGCCGTAAGGTACGACTCCAATGGGAGAAGACTGAAAAGTGGAAGCGCAAGCTTCTTGGACCAGAGTTGGCTTCCCGACTCTCAGGTCGTGCTTGGGCGGTGGTTCCGTCTTTGGATCATCGCTTGCTGCAGAAAAAGAACGGCACCAAGTACCTTTTACGATTTCTCCGAGATCGGTTGTGCCGCACTGCTGTCCCAGATGCCGGCGCAAAACTTGAGGAGCTCTTCATCAAGATGAAGCGTCTGGCAGGGATGACTATGAGTGAATGGGCCAATCAGGTCCAAGAGTCATACAGAAAGGTTCAGAGAGCCTTGGTGCGAGCAAGACAGGTGAGCAAGCGAGAACCTCAAGGACAAGCTGTAGGATCGACTGCAACGCGATCTGAACCTCAAGCTGAACCACCGAGTCCGCAGAGAGTGAGAACTACACCGAGACCTTCCCCACATCCATCACCACCGACTTCTCCGAAGGAGACACCACAAGATCGAGGAGCACCACTTTCTGGACAAGATGACGGTCGTGGTGGAGCACTTCATCCGGAACAAGGAGGATATGATCAAGTACCTCAAGATGATCCTTCTGAACCAGGACAACAAGAATGGACGGATGATGAATGGCGTCAATGGTATCGCCAACGTCGAGGTGGTTATGATGATGGAGCTTCGTCGTCTTCAGGCGAGGATTTTGCATGGGATGAACTGGAAGTCGAGGAGGTGCATGTTCTCCCAGACGAGATTCTGGGATGGCTACTCTTGAGAAGGGCTAACCTGAGCTCAGCCAACAGGTTAGCGGTTCAAAGCAGTGTCCAGAACAGCCTGTTCTTTCGGGACATCGAGAATGCGCTGAGAGATCAAGAGGAGGAGCTGCTTCAAGCAGACCAACATCGACTTCCCCACCGCAAAAGGACTTACTGGGTAGAAGATCAAGGTGTTTGGGGTCTACTTGTGTCTGAGGATGCAGTGGATGATGCTGCTGCAGAGATTCACTGGGTTGGATCCCATCTCCCTGCGGAGGTCTATGTCCCTGAGTATGCCGACGAGGAGAACGAAGAAGCTGAGGAGATTCACTGGTCCTATGACTACGATGGGTGGCATGGACATGTTCAAGATGTCTATGGCGCTTGGTTTGAGACTGATGGCTTTGGAACCTACTGGAATGAGGATGACTACTCCGACCTGACGCCGGAGCAGACGAAAGAGTTGGATGAGGCCTATGCGGTCTACGAGAACAAGATGAGGACATTCCAACAGTCTAGACAATTCCAAAGAGCGAAGGGCAAGAGCCGTGGTTTCTACCCCATTAAGATGATGAAAGGCAAAGGCAAAAGCAAGAGCAAGAAGGGAAAAGGAAAAGCGAGTGGAATCGGACCTTCATCACCTACCAGCAGGCCTATGTTCATGACCCAGGCATCGAACTCTGAGGTGATGAATGTCTCTGGCAACAACAATGGTGGCTGCTTCATCTGTGGAGAGAAAGGACATGGCTTCCGAACATGCCCAAAGAGATCTGATAACCGAAGTCAAGGTCCTCCCTCATCGTCTTCAAGACCAATGAGGAAGGGCGCATACTGGGTGGAGTCATTGACACCCAGCTCTTTGGACACTGTGTTCATGGCCATTCCGGAGGATGAGCACGAGGCACAGAATGACTTGCTGACTGAGGAGAACTCCAACGTGGACTTTGCCAACAACGAGCACGACAAGTTGATCCTGGACACCTTCAATATGGAGAACACCTTCAACGTTGTCCCTGCCTTCAACGTTCCTGAGGAGGAGAAGCCAGAGAACTGCATCTACATGATGGAGGATGCAGAGGTGATCAATGACACCACGGGCTACGGTGTCCTGGACTTGGGGGCCACTGAGACGGTGTGTTCCCTAGAGGCTCTTGAAGGTCTCATGCAACGTCGAGCTCAAGTACATGGCATTGCCGAACCTGTTGAGGTTTTCTCTGGAAAGGATGCCACAAAACCTTTCCGATTTGGCAATGGAGCAACTCAGGTATCTTCTTCCTTTGTGAGGGTGCCTCAAAGACTTGGCGACCAGATGGTGAAGTTAGGTCTTTTCACCTTGGATGCCGAACGTGTCCCCATTTTGCTGGGCATGAGAACTCTTCATCGCCTTGGCACTATCATAGATGTGAGCGGCCGGTGGATGGTGCTTTCACGAGTTGCACCGTCTGTGAAGATCCCACTCGGCAAAAGTCGTGCTGGACACCTTTTGGTCGACCTCACTTGTGACTGGCTCAAAACGAGTCAACCTACACGATGACTTTGATGCGAAGGCGGCATACATGGTGCAGCCGCTCAGTGAACTACACACTACATGTTCAACCTCATGCACGTTGCACACTTCATGCACAACATCATGTGACCGTTTGTCATCAGTTGCAGATGAAGTTGCAAGGGTTTCAGAAGCTTCAGCATGGGTTGTCAGTGAGGCCGAAGGTGAATCAGGTGAACAGCATGAAGAACATGACTTTGATCCAGCGTTTGTGGTCCACTCAAGTCAGACTTTACAGTCGTCGCTGCCTGAAGTGGATCAAAGCATGCGGGACTACATCCTGCGACAACTTGCCCACGACCAAGCGCATCGCACTGCGTTCTCTAGCAATGGCGCCGAAGAAGATGACCCAGAGCCTGAACCACAAGGACGTCGCTCCCCAGACAGAGAAGTACGACTTCACACGGACGCAACAGATGAACCCAGCAGACCCGAGGGCTCTGGGGGCTCCGTGCTGGGGCGAGCACACTCCTGCAGCTCCAGGACGTGGAAGTGTGACGGGCTCAAACCGTCACGCGACATGGACGGGGTGCAGTGTATGTCATCTGAGGTTGACATACACGCCGGCGTTTGGATCCCACGGACTTTGTCGCCAAGCAGGACCACTGGCGAAGGACGTGGAGACGCAGGTGGCAGTGAAGAAACCGGAGAAGGGATCATGCGAGCTGATGGATCGCAAGATCGGGCTGGACGGAGCCGAGCGCTCCCTGGTGAACCGCTTGGAGACGGTCAGACGGCAGAAGGAGGCATGGCAGCAGGTGCAAGACAAGAAGAACCTGCACAAGAACCAGTCTTCCAAAGGTTCACCATCGGGCCCAGAAGCATCGGGCCATCCGCCCAAGGCATCACCTTCAACGCCTTCACCAACACCAGCAAGTGGAGCCGGCTATGGGAGCGAGACCATCGACCTGACCATGAACGTGACGCCAGGCAGAAAGGCCAGGAAGCCTCAGGAGACAGCAGAGGACTTGGAGTACCATCTGCGTCAACAGCAGCAGGAAGCGGAAGAGTGGACTCAGGTCAGTCCACCGGAATCACCACCATGAACAAGAAGACGTCTTTGGACAAGACGGTGATTCAGGAGGAGCCCAATGTTTCACCGATGACATCGAATTCGACAACGAGCTCTACGACCCGAACTTCGCTTACATCATTGAGGAGTTCCGGGTCCTTGCATATGAGTACACCCTTGGATGGCTATGAGATGGCCGATGACGACACTGTACAGAATGACATCAACAGAGCTGTCAAGAAGAAGATGTCGT